AATGGGTTATCGGCATGGAGGCCCTCCTTGTTCGCAAGGGTCTCTGGGAGGTTACGAGCGCCCCTGCTGATGAAACCCGCCCCTCCGGCTCTGATAACACGAAGGCTGTGCGTGCCTGGCGTGCGAAGATCGCAGAAGCGCGCGCCGAGATTATCTTGAATATCGAGCCCACCCAGTACGCCCACATCCAATCACAAGACGTTCACGAAGTCTGGACCGAGCTCCGTCGAGTCCACCGTGCCCGCGGCTTTGGTACCCGGGTCGCGCACCGGCGCGCTTTCTGGCGCTTGTCTAAGCGCCCGGATCAAACGATGACATCGTGGATTGCTGACGTCCGCCGGGCCGCCTTCCGCCTCGAGGAGATTGACGCCTCTATCTCCGATGAAGACCGCATCCTCGTTCTCACGAATGGCCTCCCCGATTCGTACTCTCAGCTGGTCGTCAATCTCGACTCCACCCCGCCTAGCGAGCTTACCATCGATTACGTCATCACCCGCTTACTTAATGAAGAGTCGCGCCAATTGTCCCTCAACCCGCCTCATCATGACTCCGAAGTCGCCCTTGCTGCTTACACGAAGCCCCGCACCCCGCTCGAGCGCATCACCTGCTTCAAGTGCTCAAAGAAGGGCCACTATCAGCGCGACTGCCCAGAGCTCAAGACTGAAGAGGCCAACTGCGCATTTTCGGCAACCGTTAGCGCCGATCGGCTTCTTGCCGAGAAGGAGACGGAAGCGTGGTAAACGCCCCGATTAAGGGGATGCATTAGACTTATCGTACGTTATCCCTTATTTGTGCGGACACAACCCCTCCTTCCTTGCTCGCTGTTTCCATTATCCCCGTCCCGCTTGATTTGTTTGTTACCCTTCGCTCGTTGCCCGCGCTCGCTCGAGGGGATGTGTTGGAATCCTGGCGTCAAGATGGCGAGCTCGCGGAACGAGCGCCACAGGTCCCGCCCCCCGACGGATACCCGCGCCCTTATCTACCCCTATTCTACTGTGTATATAAGGTCTATTGTATGTACTATGTACGGCACGCGTTTGCACCGGCCAAACGCGAATCCCATTTGTGCCCGCTTGCCCTCGAACTTCTACAGCTCCTCCACAATGTCTCCCCCTCGGCTCCTTCCCTTGCATCCCCCTTATACGTCACAACGCCGTTCAGGGTATCGCAAGACAGCATGACCACGGTTTTGGTGAGCATTCTTTCCCCTCAAGGCACCTTCGTGCGTCGTGCGCTGCCCAGGAGCTGCGCGTAGAGGTTGCCGCTGCCTCTACAACCCCCATCTCGCCCTGCGGACCCGATGAAGAGCGCCGTTGTACGCTTCAAAATAGGATACATCGAAGGTGTCGTAGAGGATGAGCTGATAGTGAGTACCTAGCCTACAGGATCCGAAAGGGTAGGCGGTAGCGAGGCGTATCGGAAAGGAGTCGAGGAGTTCTGTTGTCCCATTGGCTTAGGAGTATTTTCTTGGAACACAACGAGACCGCTCATCGTGCTTCGTTCTAGTGTCTCCCTCATCCTGTGCTCTCGGCTCCTGCGCTAACATGCAGCGCACATTGTGTAGATTCCATTCGCACTAGGTTTCGGAACAGGACATATGTAGTTTCCATGAGCGCCCTTGTGTGCTGTTATTCAGACCGACGAGCTTGTGGGCTGCATACGTACAGAGATGATATCGCACTTTTGTATGCAACGCGCGTGGCCGGTTTGTCTCGCTCCGTTTCGCGGTCCACATAGTGTGGGGAATTGAGCAGGAGAACCGTACTGAACCGCCGCCGGAAGACGACGTAGGAGGAGGTTTGCATTCAGGATGCACGGAGAGCGGAACTGGCTTGTACAAGCACGCGGACGTGGTGTCAAGGAAGAGCCAAGCGGAAGCGGGGGTGAACAAGAGCGGGAACGCAGGGCGAGGAGGAGCAAGCTGAGCAGGCAAAGGCAAGTGGGCAGGTGAAGTAAATGATCGCGCGAGTATGCAGCCTGTTGTCATACGCGCCGTGGACCTTGGCCTCCCTTCCACGCATGGCGTCCATAGTTGAACAAGGCGATGGCCGTAGTCGAGATCGCTCCTGTCAAGACGGTCATGGACACCGGCGCCGTGATCAAGGTTTTGTCCTTGGGTCCCGCATACACCGCAGCTATCTTCTGGCCCTAACGACCATCCGGCAAACAGCACCCACAGTCGACGCTAGATCAAGAGCGATAAGCATCTTGGTAGCGATTGCGAGTTCCACGACACTCTTCAAGTTCACTCGCCACTGTGCTGCATACGACCTGTCGCCCAGTGCTCTGCATTCCATGGACCTATCCATGCTTTCGAGCGGATCTGCGATGGATGGCGATCGCGCTCATCCCAACCCCAACGCCAGCCGGCGCTTCCCCGTCGAAGTCTTCGAAAACATCATCGACATGCTTTACTCCGTCTTCCTCACAGACCGAGTTGAAGATACTCGCGCCCTGCATAGCTGCGCCCTCGTGTGCAGAGCCTGGCGTGTCCGCTCCCAACGTAACCTTTTCTACTCGGTCGTTCTCCACGATGTTGCAGCAATCGAAAAGCTCTCCACTGTCCTCGCCAACGCGCCCCATCTGTGTGAGTATGTCCACGAAGTGACACTCATCGGGCGCACCCTCCATACCACAGCCAGTCCTCTTTCGCTCTTACCCATCGCCCTCCATGGGAAACTCCCTAAGCTACAAGATCTCCATATAAATCGTGTTCAGGAAGACGAAGACTGGTACCCCAGAATGTCTGAATTGGAGTCCGCGAAGTCCCTGCAGTACCTTCCTCTTCATCCTCGCTTCTCGCTCTTCTTCTCTGCATTCACGACTATTTCTCGCCTTTTCATCTACAATACTACATTCCGGTACTTCAACGACTTCGCTAGGATGGTCAATTCCCTTCCGGCATTGGAAATCCTTATATGCGACGGTGTGCGATGTGTGACCCTCGGCCCTCTGCCATTCAATATGAAACCGCGAGCCGATGGAATCCATGCTCCCGCACCGCCATTTGCACCAAACTTGCGGTTTCTGGCCCTGGTATGTACTCCGCGATATCCATGGCACGCATCTGACACCATTCACCCAGTACGACGTGGACATACACTGCGTCCAGAGACTGGTATCGGCATGTGGGCCGCGTCTCACGGGATTGACAGTTCTCATGCCCTTCTTCTACGATGCAGAGATGGTCCTGCCCGGTGTGTATATCCTACTTCGTGGTGCAATCGCCAAGCTAGCTTTCGTACTGACGTATCACGTCAGGAGACCTCACCATGGAGCGTACAGTGGGCGTCGACCTGAGCCTCTGCTCGACACTCGAGCAACTGGGCATCTCGCTTGGTCCAGAGTTCGCGACTGACGGACAGTCGCTCGACCAATTCAAGGCAATGCTTGGCTCGTTGGGTTCCGAAGTCCCTCTTCGATATGTCCGTCTCTTTGCGAACCATGAAGACGTCCTCACTCGGCAAGGGTTCGCAGACATTCTCGGTACAGTGGGTCGAGTCATGGAGGATTTGCTTCATGAGTCTTCAGCACAGCCGAGTGCGGACGGAGAGGTTGGCGAGCAATGCAGGAGATGGCGGATATGGTTCTACGTGTGGGACTGGGAAATTTGGCTAGATTGGTGGTGGACGTATTTCGAGAGGTGCTTTCCTACGTTGGCAAAGTCAGGTGAGCTTAGGATGACATATCAACCTCGTAAGTGATCAAGCAACATTGTCCTTTGCGAGTGTAGGAGGATTACTGAATTGCATTTTACTAGCATCACATGACCAGCGCAAATGGAAAGACAGCGGTGCACCACGACCAAAGCCGACAACCGCTACGTAACGAACCCGGCTGGACTCATACGAGGTATGACTCTCCTCGGCCACCAATATTGGCCACTGAACGTCGCTCCAGCTGCTGCTGGCTGCGCTACCATCATTACACATGCTCACCACACCGCAGGAACCGAGGCGACATGTTCGCAAGCCGTACATTGTCCGCTCGCACTCGATCGCATGGTCATCGGATGGGAGAAAGAGCAGGGTCTGTTTGCCGGTTGTAAGATTGGAGCGATTGCAAGGTGGACGCCCGGGATTGGGATACACGGACGCGAAGAGGGGTGACGGAAGTAATGTAACATGGAAGGAGCTTTGCAACTTCGGTCGATGTCGGTGTTTCACACTTTGTCTCAATACGTATCCTGTGGCTGTATACATATGCGTCGTGTCAGGCTGCGACTCAACTGGGGGGTTGTAGCGCAGGGGAAACAAGCCCTAAGCGGCGTTGCGGTAGGGAGTGCAGAACGAGAATCTCGCCTTGGTGGCCTCCAGCACTGTCGGAGTAATCTAAATCGCGCACTCTGAGGCATCCAGGAGTTGACTCGGGAGGTGGAAAGTCGGGTGCGTGCGCTGCCCGTAGATGCGACCTATCTGCGGTGAAATGAGTGGCACAGGCGGCGACGTCCGGGAATGATCTGAAGGTGCCACACTATTGAAAGTCATTGCGACCCCCTCTGTTGTCTTCTTCTGCACCATCAGAGAGTGAGGTGCAATGCAGGCTTCCGGGCCTACGAAACATGAACTGTCTTGGAATTTGTATAGGACGGTAGGGTGAGTACTGGATATATAACAAGCCCATAGGAGCATTGGGACTGACCAACTTTGGGGCCAAAGCCGCATGCGTCCCCCCATAACATTGAAGGATGCATCGCGACTGTTCGTGCGTAGGACCCTGACCATGCGTTGAACCTCATCGCCTTCGCTTCATTCGTTTTTCTGCAAGGGCGAACAAATGCAAGGCCTGGCGATCAGCCCTGGTACGCCATCGGAGCTGGTCAAATCAAAACGATCGAGCAGCCAGGACTTTCAGAGGTCTACTTTGAGGGTTGCGTTCACACACCCCGTTCGCGTCGTCCCAAGCGTGCTGACCGTCGTTTGCGGTGTGCGGTTGAAGTCATTCTGAGGAGTGTGCTTTTGGCACGATCGCGTCTGTCTCGGTACGTCATTCAGCTCTTCGGGCGAACGAACACGGCATATCGCAGGTCGTGCTTGTACATACATGTGGTAGAAGTGCAGGAGCCGTGGAGCACAGTGTCGCGCTGAGGATGCGCGATTAAGGGAGGAATGGACAGGAGGGACGGAGGCGAGTTCAAGGAGCGGCGTACTGTGAGGTGGGGGGGTTGGGTTGGGCGCGAGGCCACGGCAGATGGAGCATGCGCATACATGAGTGGGGAGATCAGTCTCCATAGGCTGCACGGCTCACCTCCGTTCCCATCTCCTGCCCACCAGACTGCCGCGCTCACATGTGCCATACACATGTATCTGGTTGCAGTCACGCTAGTCCCGCCTTGTTTTGTGGCGGTCTGGGTTGGTTCGGCAGACGCACGGGTTATCTTGTGAATGATGCTGTACATGACATCACTATGAGTGGGTTTGAGGACCGATGAACTTGTGGGCTGGATACAGACGGATCTCACAATGTGGTACAACATGCGCTGAGGGAGTGAGTACCGCTCCTCTCCCTCAACTACAATCCAACAAGGCATATGCGCGTAGTATGGAGAAGCGCAGGCTATTCGATGATCGATGCGACGCGGCAAGGCGACCCACGAGTCCAAGATGCATGGAGAGCGAGATCGACGTTGACGAGCGTGCATGCAGAGAGCAGGAAGAGGAGGCGAGAGAGGGAACCGAACAAGAGTCGGGACGCCCGAACAGTGAGCCAAGCAGACGGGCCCCGGACCGTGCGAGAACGTGCAGTATAGCCTGATGCAATCCCAGCGACTGGAACAGCACACGGCCTCGCCCATCTAGCAATGTTCGCTGCGCCTCTCCCACATCTTTATCGAAGTGCTGTGTGCTGCGTGGACCACGACCCCGAGAGGCGGACATCAAGGGCAGTGTCCAGTTGCCATCGCTCGCACTGCAGGGCGGCGTGAAGCGGTGAGACCAGGGTGATTGTGGAAGTGCTCGGCCAGGAGCACGAGGTCGTTGTGCGCGTTGGGAAGGCGACGGACATGCAACCGGCCTTTCGCTGTAGCCGGGACGTCCACCCCAGGGGCGAAGGGCGTGCGGGAGATGCTGAATCACGTCGGTCGCTTGCTCAATTACACAGGCTTCTAGGGATCATGGTGAGATCTCGCGCGCCGTACAGCGTCATCCATTGGGCGATGACGGCGGCCCATCGACGTCAATGGGCACATGCAAGTGCATCTCCCGCTGGTGCAAGAGACTGCTGTCCTCGAGCACTGCAGAGTGAGCATAGAGACTGTCGATGGCCAGAAAGTCGTCACAGACTGCAGGCGGATCCGTGCGCGGTGATACGGCCGGAGCTCGTCTAGGAGGTTCAAACGACCAATCAATGAACACACTTACAGAGGTGTCCTCGGACGCTTGCGTTCGCGTACGCCATGCGCGTTGTCCCGGACTTGCTTCCATTCTTCTGCAGTACATGGCTGAACTCACCTGGGGAGATGAGATATTTGGGACAGGCTCGTCTGTCCCGTTGTACCATGTTGCTCTTCGGACAGATGAACACTGCCTGCCGAATGTAGTATAACACCTTTCTAGTATGAGTGCTACAGCCGTCCAGGGGAGCTTCCTGCTCAGTATATGCGGGCGGGGTAGGATTGAATGTGAGAGATGTAGGCGTTAACATGGAAATGACCTAACACGAGGTGGGACGGGACGGGTAGGAAGGGAAGACAGCCATTGCATATCGCTTGAAGGAGCGTCTGCACATCCATACACAAGGAAATCGCCCTGCATAGACCATATAGCTCACCACTTCTACGTCCCCGGTCTTCCGTAGACCGCCACGCTCGTCTATACCGTGCCCATGTATTCAGCTGCCTTCATTCTGCCCCTTCCTCGTCGCGTGCTGGGACAACCTGGCACGATCTACCATGCGTGGATTTGTGAATCATGCTGTACGTAACATTACAGTGAGTGCCATTGAGGAAAGATAAGCGCGTGATCCAAATACCTACAAAGAGGGCCTCGTACTTGGATATGCCATACGTATAGGGAGGGTGTCATGGTAGTCCCCTTCGCTGTCCATATGGTGTGGGGAGACGCAGAACAGTCGGATAAAACCGTGCTAGAGGAGGATGCACGGAGAGCAGAGCCAACGCCAACAAGCGTGTGAGCAGCGAGAGAAGTGCCCAGGAAGGAGACGAACAAGGGCAGAAGGCGAACAAGAGTGGGAACGCAGGGCAAGGCGCAGCGGCGAGCAACGACCGGTGACCAGCTGGAGTGAGCTGTCGCGCCAGTATTCAGCCAGCTTTCACGCACGCTGTAGGTCCGGGTTTGCGGACGTGTATGCCATCCATAGCCGAAGACGATGGTCGCAGTCAAGATGGACAGCGACAGCGAGCAACGTCTTTCTTGCGATCGCTCCTGGCATAACGCGTCGCGGGCGCCTGGCTCACACGAGTCAGCTGATCACCTTCGACCACGCGTCGCCCAAGGTTCTGTCCTTGGGTCCCGCGTACACACCAGCTATCTTCTGAACTCTAAGACCATCTGGGAAACAGCTCCCGCAGTCGACGCTAGATGGCAGGAGCGATAAGAACATGAGTAGCGATTGCGGGTTCCACGACACTCCTCACTCACTCACTGCTGTCCTGCATACGATCCGTCGCCCAGTGCTCTGCATTCCATGAACCCATCCTCGGTTGCCAGCGAATCTGCGATGGACCACGATCGTGCTCATCCCAACCCCAACGTCAGCCGCTTCCCCGTCGAAGTCTGCGAGAACATCATCGACATGCTTTACTCGTTGTTCTTCGTGGACCGAGTTGCAAATTCTCGCGCCCTGCATCGCTGCGCCCTCGTGTGCAGAGCCTGGCGTGTCCGCTCCCAGCGTAATCTTTTCTACTCGGTTGTTCTCCACGACCTTCCAGCACTCCAGAAGTTCTCCGCTGTCCTCGACAACGCGCCCCATCTGTGCGAGTATGTCTACGAAGTAACACTCGTCGGGCGCACCCTTCACACCACAGCCAGTCCTCTCTCGCTCTTACCCATCGTCCTCCGTGGGAAGCTACCTAAGCTCCAAGAGGTCACTATAAATCGTTTTCGCGAAGACGCCAAGTCGTACCCTACAACGTCCAAATCGGGTACCATGAAGCCCCTACAATATCTTCCTCTTCATCCACGCTTCGCGGTCTACTTCTCTGCATTCACGACGGTTTCTCGACTCTGTATCGTTAATCTTACATTCGTGCACTTCAACGATCTTTCCAGAATGATTAATTCCCTTCCGGCATTACGAACACTTGTTTGCAGCCATGTGCGATGCGTGGCCCTCGGCGCTCTGCCATTCAATATGAAACCGCGAGCCGATGGGATTCATGCTCCTGCAACGCCATTTGCACCAAAACTACAGAAGCTGCGACTGGTATGTACTCTGCAATATGCATGGCATGCATCTAAAATTATTCACCCAGTGGAGCGTGGACATACGCTGCGTCCAAAGACTGGTATCCGCATGTGGGCCACGTCTCACGGAATTGGCAGTCAGTATGCCCTTCCTCCACGATGCCGAAATGGTCCTGCCCGGTGTGTTGATTCTGCTTCCCAATGACATTGCTAAGCTAGCTTTTGCACTGACGTTACACATCAGGAGTCCCCACCACGGAGTCCCCAGTGGGCGTCGACTTGAGCCTCTGCACGATGCTCGAGCGATTGGACATTGACCTGGGTCCGGAGCTCGTGACTGACGGGCAGTCGCTCGACGAGCTCAAGGCGATGCCCAACTCGTGGGACTCCGCAGTTCCTGTCCGAAACATTCATCTCGTTCCAGTCATTCCAAGCGAATTTACTCGGCAATGCTTTGCAGACCTTCTCAGTACGGTTGGTCGAGTTCTGGAGGAGTTGTTTCATGACTCTTATGCACCACCGAGCGGGGACGGAGAGGTTGGCGAGCAGGGCAGGAGATGGCGGTTATGGGTCGACGTATGCGACTGGGAAGTTTGGCGAGATTGGTGGTGGACACATGTCCAGAAGTGCTTTCCGACGTTGGCGAAGTCACATGGGCTCACGATGAACTTCGACCCTCGTAAGTGATCAAGTAACATCGTAATTTGGCAGCGTAAGAGGGGTCACTCAATCATTGTCTTGCATTCTACTAGCACCGCTCGACCTATTCAAATGGAAAGATAGTGATGCACTACGATCAATACTCACAAGTACTCCCTAGTGAACTGGCCCTGGAATCAACCAAGGTGAGACTCCTTGTAGACCTATACTGACCACTGAATGCCGTTCCAGCTGCTGTTGGCTGCGCTGCTGTACTCTCACAACATTGTGGAAACTGAGGCGACGTTTACGCAAGCCATACGTTATCCGATCGCACTCGATCGCGCGGTCATTGGGTGGGAGGAAGAGCAGGGTCTGTCTGGGTTCAAGATTAGGGAGCGGAGCGATCGCAAGCAAGGCGGAAGGCCGGTGTAGGGACATACGGAGGCAAAGTATTCACGGAAGTGGCTTGACATGGAGGGTTGAAGACAGTTTTGCAGGTTCTGTCTATGTCCGCAGTTTAGGTTTCGTCCCGATATGTATTCTGTGGCCCTATGGATGTGCGATGTGTCGGGCTGCATCTCGCGTGGATCATCGTGAGTCTGGGATACTCGATTATGGGGTTGTAGCGCAGGGGACTGAGGTAGCGGCGTTGCCGTAGCGAGTGAGAGCACCAGTACACACTAGATAAATTTTTTGATCCTTATAGTTATAGTAAAACACGAATTATTTGGCCCAAATGTTATAGTGGCCCCTTCAAATATTTGGGAGGGTTTGGAGGGATGCCCCTCCCAGATATTTGAGGCAGCAAACACCAAATATCTGGGACATATATAGGGAGGAGGGTACCCCTAAATATTTGCTAAATATTTGCTGTGAGTGCTACATAGGGAGGATCATTTTCCGCTTGCGTGCACTGTGGGTCCTCTTGTGATTCCTCCAAATATTTGAAGTCCACCCCAAATATTTGATAAAGACTTAACCCAAATGTTCTCCATTTGGTACAGCGTGACGTGAGTGCTCATTATGGCTAATCTGCTACATGCTCTCAACTACGTCTAGATGAAGGCG